TGGAGGCCAGAGCTGATGCAGAAGCCATGGAGGGGTGCTGCTTACTGGCTTGTTCCTCATGGCCTGCTTAGCCTGCTTTCTTATAGAACCCAGGACCAGCAGCCCAGGGCTGGCACCACCTACCATGGGCTGAACCCTCTCCCGTTGATCACTAAATGAGAAAATGCCTTACAGTTGGAACTCAAGGAGGCATTTCCTCAGCTCGGGCTCCTTCCTCTGATGACTCTAGCTTGTGTCAAGTTGACACACAAAACCACCCAGTACAAGGCACTTGCTGAGCTTGATCCCTAAAAACCACATGCACCCACACATGTACACTCATAGAGTAATAAAAATTTAAAAACAGACAGATGCTACCTAGTCACCCTCTTAGGAGTCTGTAGTTCTACCAGCGAACATAACTTCATTCGTCCCTTTCTGAGCTGACTGTCAGGACTTCTTTTAGCTCACAAAGCAGGTATAAAGGAACACCAATGTCTGTCTGAGTCTTCCTAACCCTGTCCAAGAACCAGACTCCAAATACCAGAACTAAGAAATCGCTAAATATACAGTCCAACAGCAGCACCATTGTGAAGTTTGAATTCTAAGCCAGGTGTGGGTGGCACACACCCATAATCCCAGCACTTGGAAGACTGAGGCAGGAGAATCATGAGTTAGGAGGCCAGCCTGGGAAGCTTATCAAGACCCTGTCTCAAAATACCACTTGAGAAGGACTGGAGATTTTGCTTAGTGGAGAACCCCTTCCTGGCAAAGGGAGCCTCTGCCCCACTCCCCCAGGGCATGTGGACCTTGAGTGCTTGGCAGGCAGGGTCCCAATGCCATCAACTATGGTTCAGCTCATTTTTTTATTTTATACAAGCCAAAGACATGCATGGCTCTAACATATAATGTGTCATCAGTGTCTAGAGCATTCTAACACAGGAAGATACACTTCACTGGGATATCTTTTTACAGAAAATGTTGCAAACCTGAAAACCAGAATTGTATTAGCCTCTATTCAACTGCACAGAAGTTGTATGTGATCTTAGACCTTCAGCTCCCCAGTGCCTCACGGTTACACATGAAAGTCTTCATAAGGAGCCCTCAGGGTGGTGGGGCATGCTTTTAATTCCAGCATTCAGGAGGCAGAAGCAGGCGGATCTCTGTGAGTTCAAGACCAGCCTGGTCTACATAGAGTTCCAGGCCATCTATACTGTCCAAAAATAAATAAATAAACAAACAAATAAATAAAAATCTCTGTAAGGTGAAAACTCCAAATACCAGAACTAAGAAATCGCTAAATATACAGTCCAACAGCAGCACCATTGTGAAGTTTGAATTCTAAGCCAGGTGTGGGTGGCACGGTTAGAACCTGGGTGAACTGTATGAAAAAAATAATTTTTAAATTGAGAAGTGGGTACAGTGTTGCATACCTGAAGTCGCCACTGTCTGGAAGGCTGAGTCTGAGGCAGAAGGATTACTTGGGTGCAGGAGTTGGGAACCAGCCTGGGCACCATAGCAATACTCCCACATAAAAGAAAAAAAATTGAAAGTACATTGCATGTTGTCATGTAGGCATGGCATTGGACTCAGGATAAGACAGATATGAAATAAGATAGGAAAGGGCTCCCCATGGCTGGAACTATTACAGGCAGCTGACCATCTTACACCTCAAAACTCATATAGGATTTATGATAAAGGACCAGCCTAGAAATTGCACCCCAAAACCATGTTTGTTACCATACTTACATTCTCTAAATAATTTGCAAAACCAAGTCTAAGATACTCTATGCCAGTTATTCATTTCTAAGTACAGAAAAACAGTGAGGCATGGTTACATTCTGAAGCGTTTTCTTAGGATCTGTCATATCATCTTCTCAAGCATTATTTGTGCTGGGTGGGAAGGCCCTGAATTTATGCCTAAAGAAACTAAAGTGTGTGTTAAGGGGTTTCCCTGCATAGGAAGCTTGCCAGAGCCACAGACCTTGAGTCACCAGCAGGACCAAAGCTAACTCTCACCTGAGCATTGCTTGGATGACTCCTGAACGTTAGTATTGGTCAGCAGCCACTGCATAGCTCAGTGCAGCCCATGCAGGTGTCCAAGTCCTGAGCATCCAACGTAGGTGCTCTCAGCACCCACTGCATCCCGTGCGGGTGTCCCCCAGTACCCAGAGCATCCTTTGCAGGTGTCCCCCAGTACCCAGAGCATCCTGTGCAGGTGTCCCCCAGTACCCAGAGCATCCCGTGCAGGTGTCCCCCAGCACCCAGAGCATCCCGTGCAGGTGTCCCCCAGTACCCAGAGCATCCTGTGCAGGTGTCCCCCAGTACCTAGAGCATCCCGTGCGGGTGTCCCCCAGTACCCAGAGCATCCTGTGCAGGTGTCCCCCAGTACCCAGAGCATCCTGTGCAGGTGTCCCCCAGTACCCAGAGCATCCCGTGCAGGTGTCCCCCAGCACCCAGAGCCAGTCCATTCAAGAAGAGAAGCCCACGATGTCTATTTACAGTACTTGCTTGGTGTTGTTTACTTTTAGTCTCTGGGCAGCTTGAGCTCAATTTGGGTTTCAGGACCTAGTGTGGAGCTAGAAAGCTCAGCACTGTGGCTCAAGTGACTGTGGGACAGGGATCTTCATTCACTTATGGCACTTTCTTTGGCACTCCCTGGGTTTACCTGATTACCTGATCTGGGAAGGGCCAGTTTCCTATGTTACCACCCAGAGGCCACTCACTAGTCTTTGAAAGAAGACATTTAGTTGGAGCTGGAGAGTTCTCTCAGTGGTTAAATGCATGGGCTATTCTACCAGAGAACCTGGGTTCAGTTCCAAGCACCCACATGGTGGCTCCCAACCATCTGTCACTCCCTTTTCAGGGGATCTGATGCCCTCTTCCGGCCTCTTCCAGCACTCGTGTGGTGCATTCACTTATAATGCAGGCAAAGCACTCATAGACGTAAAAATCATTCTTTTTAAAAGAAGAATTTGGTAGTCTCTGTAAAGAGGCAAAAATAAAACACTAGAAAGAAAAGCATGGAAGCTGGAAGGATTCGCTTTCGTGAATTGAAACATTTAAACCATGTTTACACCGTAGCTACTCCTGTTACTGTAGCTACTAAAAGCCGAGCCCCAGGGATGCCCTTGGTCCAGCTCCATCCCTTGTGTCTGTGTCTGCATCGGCACACAGCAAGAATGTAATGATGCTTGCTGAGTGAATAAATGAATGTTCTATGGCAGTGCTCTAGTGCTAGATGCTGTGGGTGGAGAGCCGGTGTATGCAGGATACTTGCAAGCACCCATACACATCCATTTCTGACATCCCTGTAAACAGGCATGCCTCCCATCTCCTCCCCTCACAGATGCCGAGAGAGGCGGGGCACCCAGGTGTTCCCCTGCCAAGCCCAGCTCCAAGCTTACTTCCACCAAACTTCCTAACACACACCCTCTCTGGAGTATCCTCTTCCGGGCCCTGCTCTTTTCCCTTTTCAATGTGTACAGATCCTGGTTCCCTGAGCTGGTTACGACTCTCTGAGCTGGGCAGTGGTGGCGCACGCCTTTAATCTCAGCACTTGGGAGGCAGAGGCAGACGGACATAGAGATGGGCTGAAATGCAGCCAAGACGTGGGTACAAAGTACTCACTGCATCCATTTCTCTCTCCCTCTCCCTGTCTCCCTTCCCCCCCTTCCTTCTTCCCTCTCCTTCCCTTCTCCCTCTTCCCTTTCTTCTGAAGTCTAGCTTTATCTAAACCTCATCCCTCCTAGCAGCAGGTGACCATCCCATAGTCCCTGCGTGTACCGTCACCCCAGCCACTACAGAGACAACTGGCCGCCCCGAGTAACAGCTCCAAATTCCTAAGAGAGAAAGTATACTGGTTATTATGCCTTGGGCCCAACTTGGATCCATTCGGCTGTGAGACCAGCACCTCCTTCACCATCAGAGTATCCCCAAGTCGAGGGCAGCAGCCACCGCTTAGTGAATGCTGGCCTGAATCCGGGGCTTGTGGTTTAGATCTTTGCGACTAGTGGATTGAGGACACAGCTTAGTGGTAGAGCACTTGCCCAGCATGTGCAACGCTCTGGATGCAAAGCCCAGGGCCTGAGGTTCAAATCCCCAGTTTGGAGTGAGAGATGAAAACAGTCTCAGGTTAGTGGGGGAAATCTTTTACTTGATCTTTTCTTTTTTTTCTGGTAGATCCTTCCCCACTCTCCAAGGGAGGAAAGGAGGAGAAAAGCATCAGATGGGCAGGAGTAGAACTAAGGAGCGGTCTGGGGGTGTGGCTCGGTGGAAAAGCGCTTGCCTAGCATATACAAGGCTCTGGCTTCCATCTCCAGTGCCATAGGAAGAGGCCGGGAGAGAGGGAGAAGGAAGGAAGGAAGACGTAGAACTGAAAATACCAAGTGTTAGATCTAGACACGATCCGTCTGCCGTGGGAAAGATGAAAGGGAAGTGCTGTGCTCAGATTTCTCCCAGCATGCCCTAAGCTCTGCTTTTAAAAAATAGATAATTGGCCTACTTCTGTTATGTACAAAAACAGGGTATTTCCCCGAAAGCCGAGGGCAATGCGGGCATTCCCAACTGAGTTCTCAGCACTGGCCCCATATCAGAGTCACCTGGAGATCTTGACCCTGGTCACATAACAAGAGTCACCTGGAGAAGGCTTTAATATTGAAATGGGGCGCGGAGGAGTCCCAGACAACTGTCAGAATTTGGGCGTGTGTTTCCTTATATGATTTTAATGGGTGGCCAGCACGGGAGCCCCTCACACAATCGAAGCCCCACAGCCGCTCTGTGAGACAGGAAAGACCATGGGGGATTAACCCCATTTCCCAGATAGTGCTGGGAAGTTTCCATCTTGTGAGTGGTGGCCTCATCCCAGAATGCAAAGCTCCAGGGGCCGCCCCTCTGATCTCATTAAGTCATGCTGCAAACACTAATGGACTAATTAGGAGCCATCCCTCACCTCGCCCGTGTGTCCCTCCCTTTTCCGCTCCGCTCATCTCTCTCCCTTCATCTCTTGCTCCTGGGTGCAGGAACTAAATAAAAAGAGGACCCAGAAGGAGATGGAGCACGCCATGCTGATCCGTCACGACGAGTCCACCCGAGAGTTAGAGTACAGGCAGCTGCACACCCTGCAGAAGCTCCGCATGGACCTGATCCGGTTACAGCACCAGACGGAGCTGGAGAACCAGCTGGAGTACAATAAGAGGCGGGAGCGGGAGCTGCACCGGAAGCACGTCATGGAGCTTCGGCAACAGCCGAAAAACTTAAAGGTAAGAGGACCTGGCGCGCATCCTCACGCAGGGGGGCGGGGCCGCAGGGGGCGGGGCCGCAGCGCCCTGTCTGTGTTCCTCCCTACAGAATCGGGCTCTCCAGGTGTGGTGTCCAGGGCTCGTTCTGCAGGCTGGGAAGCGGCTTTAGAATCCCTCTAAGCTGCAGGGACCTTGGCCCTCCCTGTAGTTCAATCCTTCGCCTACCTGAGTCACTGGTTCCCCACCGTCTTGGAAAGGCAATGAAGAGGGGCTGGAGAGATGGCTCGGCGGTTAAGAGTGCTGGCTGCTCTTCCAGATTGTTGATCCCCAGCACCCACACAGCAGCTCACAACCATCTCTAACTCCAGTTCCAGGGCATCTGATGCCCTCCTCTGGCCTCCAGGGGTACCAGGCACCCAGGCGGTGCACAGACACATTCCGACCAAACACTCATACATATAAAATAAAGCTAAAAAATTGAAAGTGAGCAAGGACAGCTCGGAAGACGTTTCAGTCAGTGAAGTGTTTGTAAGTACAAAGACCTGAGGGCTATCCCCTAGAGCAGTGGTTCTCAACCTGTGGGTCATGACCCCTATGAAAGTCAAATGTCCCTTTCACAGGGGGTCACCTAAGACCGTCAGGAAACATGGATATTTACATTACAATTCATAAAAGTAGCAAAATTACAGTTATGAAGTAGCAACAACAATCATTTTATGGTTGGGGATCACCACAACATGAGGAACTGCATTAAGGAGTCGCAGCATTAGGAAGGCTGAGGACCACTGCCCTAGAACCTATGTTAAAAAAAAAAAGTTGGGGCTGGAGAGATGCCTCAGAGGTTGAGAGCACTGGCTGTTCTTCCAGAGGTCCTGAGTTCAATTCCCAGTACCCACATGGTGGCTCACAACCATCTGTAATGAGATCTGGCGCCCTCTTCTGGCATGCAGGGATACATGCAAACAGAACATGGTATACGTAATAAATAAATGAATCTTTAAAAAAACCAAAAGTTGGGCTGAGCACATATAGTAGTGGTGCACACAGAGAGGTAGACAGGCTTCCTTAGGGCCAGCCTGGTCTACGTAGTGAGCTCCAGGCCAGCCAGAGCTACACAGTGAGACCCTGTGCCACCAAATAAAAAGGAAAAAAACAAACAAAAAATGCTGTCTGTAAGCCCAGCTCTTCTGGGCAGCTCCCTGGTACTGGCTGCCCACCCACCTAGCCTGTTTTACAGCCCCCAGGCTTTTGCCAGATACTGTCTCAAAAAAAAAGAAAGAAAGAAAAAGAAAAATGGACAGTATCTGTGGTACCTACCCACGGTTGTCCTCTGACCCCCATCTACATATACACAAGTGCTCCCAGCAAAAAAAAAAAAAAAAATGGCTAGGGAACTGTCCATGGTCCTAGCCCCAGTCAGTGAGAACCACCACCCTCAAGGTTGCTATTCACAAACAGAGGCTACTCCAAAGCCACCGCCCGAGTTAGTAGGCGCCGGTGTAGCTGACTAGCGACATCTGCCGTAGGCCTGGGAATCGGGCCTGGCTCTCCAGGCTGCAGTGGGGGTGGCCCTTGCAGCCTCCAGCCTATCCGGGCGTGGCTCTAGCTGGCCAAGTTCCACGTCCTCCTCGGCCACCGGCATGTGTCACGAAGAGAGGCCGGTTGTCAGTGCTGGCACAGACGCAGGCCGCCCTTAGTCACACCGGCACATCTTGCAGGCAAACCCTTGGCACATCCCTGACCCCTGCCAGCAGAAGCCCTGAGTGTTCAAGTGACATGTGACCACAGAGTGGCCTGTGCCTGCCATATACTCCTCTTCCCACTTTCCAGAGTGAAATCATACTCTTAATGGAATCAAAGATCCAAAGCCACTTTTCTCTTTCAGTTTCTCCTGAAGTCGAGTAGGAATGGGTTAGGCTGTGAAGTGCTGTTCGGGTGCTCTGTTTTTGTTTTTTGTTTTCTGGTTTTTTTTTTTTTTTTTTTTTTTTTTTTTTTTTTTTTTTTTTTTGGTTTTTCGAGACAGAGTTTCTCTGTGTAGCTTTGTGTCTTTCCTGGAACTCACTTGGTAGTCCAGGCTGGCCTCGAACTCACAGAGATCCGCCTGGCTCTGCCTCCCAAGTGCTGGGAGTAAAGGCGTGCGCCACCACCGCCCGGCTCCAGTGCTCTGTTTTTATCAGTGTCTCAGGGAGACATTTGGAGTGAGGGCCATGGAAGCCGACTGTATAGTATCACCCCTTTCTATGCTTGGAAATAAAAGGGAATAGTGCATACATGGATGGACACACTCGCCCGGAGGAAAGAAAATTCAGCGAGGCTGGGCAGCGGTGGCACATGCCTTTAATCCCAGCACTCGGGAGGCAGAGGCAGGCGGATCTCTGTGAGTTCGAGGCCAGCCTGGTCTACAGAGTGAGTTCCAGGACAGGCTCCAAAGCTACACAGAGAAACCCTGTCTCGAAAAACCAAACAAACAAAACCAAAAAAAAAAACCAAAAAACAAAACGGAGCATGCGTAGTGTGACCTCTGGCATACATTGTCCCGGTCTTTTTCTGGATTGCTGGCTGTCCTGTGGGAGTCCTGTGCTTGTTCTGTGTCATACAACCCAGGGACTTCCGTGTGGACTGACCCTCTTTTTCTCTCTGTTGCTTTTTTTCCCTGCCAGGCCATGGAAATGCAAATTAAAAAACAGTTTCAGGACACTTGCAAAGTACAGACCAAACAGTACAAAGCACTCAAAAATCACCAGTTGGAAGTCACTCCAAAGAATGAGCACAAAACAATCTTAAAGACACTGAAAGACGAGCAGACGAGAAAACTGGCCATTTTGGCAGAACAGTATGAACAGAGCATAAATGAGATGATGGCCTCTCAGGCGGTAAGTGGGTAGGTTCGTTGCCACGGCTCCGAGAGCTTTTGGGAATCTCAAGAAAAGGCAAGATCCAGCTTTCATTCCCAAGCACCTTCTGGGATATGTTGGTTTAGGATATATTGGTGGCTTCTTTTCCTGCCCGCGGAACGGAGGAAAATGACGACGCTGAGTAAAGCCAAGGCCATTCAGATACAAGCCGGAATGCGTCTTATAAGATGGAGCCAAAGGAGCAGTGCCGGTCCAGCCAGGGGCGGTGGGGGGGCGCACGTAGGGAGGGCGAGACGGGATGGATACCGCGTGTTGTGTTTATGCTTATTCATCAGAGGTTTACTGACCACCACCCCAACTAATGTCAGGCATGGCCCTGCTGCCTCTGGGTTCATGGTCAAGTGAGGGGAGACACACACACACACACACACACACATACACACACACATATGCTAAATAAACTCTGGTCAAGCCTCGGCAGGCAGCGCTGCGCTAGGCCCAGAGACAGTGGAGCTAGCTAGCTAGGGTCTCATGCTGTGTCAGGGAGGCTGGGAAGCCAGATCATTGAGTGGGAATAGCCAAGCACACTGAGTCCTTAGTTGTTGGGGTACCCAGGGCCTTGGAAGGACAAGAAGGAACAGGGAAGCTGGCCTGGAAATACCTGGAGAACAAAAAGGAAGCCATGAAAATCCATGGGCCGACGATACAGACAAAGGTCCAGACGAGGAGAGTGTGCATCTGGGGCTCAGTGCTGGAGGGTCAAGAAGGAGGAAAGCTGTGATCCCAGCATTCAGAAGACTGAGGCAGGAGGATCGTGGCAGCATGGACTACTGTCGAGACCTAGTCTTTCCAAACAAAGGCAGGGGATGTAGTTCGTCAGTAGACCACTTGCAGGAGGGCCCCCAGCGCCGCAAAGGAGATGAAGGGGGAAGGAAGAAGGGGGGAAAAGGTAGGAGAAAAGAGGAAGAGAGGGAGGAAGAAAGAAGGAGGGAAAGGGAAGGAGAAAGGGGGGCCCGTGTACCCGTCCTGTCTTACTCCCAGGCTAGTCTCTCCTGGTTCTCCACTGTGTCCCAGGATCCCCGGATCCCAAGGATGTTGGTAGGTTGGGAAATGGGTCTGTCAGGTTATTGAATGACGTCATCCCACAGCGCCCAGCCCCAATGGCCAATGGTTTACTCAACAGAAGCATTAGTTCCACCTGAGGGTGCAGCCTGCAAAGACACAGAAACCCCAAAGGGTCTGAGAATGAATGGCCAGCCCGACCAGCTGCCACAGCCGGGGGGTACCACACGGGGGGTGCAGGTGAGGGTCAGAGGCTCTGAGGCAGGAGGTGAGCTGTTACTCTACAACGAGAGACCTCAGATGTCCAGTGTGCCATTGCCGTGAGCCCTGGGGTCCACCACAGCACAAGAGGGAGGTGGGAGGCAGGCACATGGACATGGCGAGGGCTGGGCAGGATTTGGGGAACACTTTGGAGGGGTGGCAGGAAGAATTGAGCTTCAGAGTGGAATTGACAGGAGACTGGGAGGGTTGAGGAAAGAGGGTAGACTTGGATGCCGGGCACAGTAACTGAGTAGGGTGCCACTGAGCCCTGTAGGTGTCCATGTGGAGAGATCCAGATACTGAAATCTGCCAGTCAGAAGGGACGCCAGGAGTAAAGACCAAAGGTCCCATGCCTTTGCCTCGTGGGGGCAGCTGTGACAGGTAGGAGTAAGTAAAATCTACCTGGGGGTGGGGTGGAGTTTGAGAAGCAGGCTGGAGAAGGATCTGGTAGCCATCCATGTTTGAAGGCTGGGTAGGTGTAGATCAAAGCGGATGAGTACCCAAAGATCAGGAGGGGCCAGGAGAGAGCAAGTCACAGAAGGCAGAGCGAAGGTTCCCGCCGGAGGGTTCAAATGTACAGGAGCCACGAGAGCAGGAAACCCCGGTGACCTCCCCGCTCTGGACAGTGGCTTTAGCCAGCGCGGTACTGCGGCAGGAGCGGAAGGTGCTCTTCCCCTTCAAAGGGACGCGGCCCCAGCTCAGCGGGCAGAGTGCTTACCTGGCGCACACGAGGCCCTGGGTTTGATCCTCCACACTGCAGACACCGGCATGGTGACACCTACCTGTGATCCCGGCACCTGGGAGATGCAGCAGGAGGATCAGAAGTTCAAAGTCATCCTCAGCCACCTCACAAGTTTGAGGCCAGCCTGGGCTACATGAGACCCTGTCTCAAAAATAAAGAATGCCCATAAAAAGAAGAAACCGCACACGGGACTCCCTCTCCCATCCTCGTCAGTAGAGGCAGATAGACATGCAGCACACGGAGGGGACAGTTAAAGGAAGCTGCTGCCAGTAGAGAGAGGCTTAAACATGTTCCTAAGCTGATGGGTGCTGCTGCACTTATTCACACCTTCATCCATCCATCCATCTGGCATTTATGACTGACTGCACCATGCTCCAGGCATCCCTGGAGAGGACATGATGAATAAGAGATCCCTCACTCCTCAACCAGGTCCCCGGGGACAACGGAGGAAGCCACATCAAAAGGGGGCTGCTGTGCATGAAGTAGGGCAGAAGCAGGAAGGGAGCGGTGGACCCAGAAGGGCTAGCCTGGTCTATAGTGGCAGAAGTGGGAAAACCGTAGCCCACCTGAAGAACTCGGAGGCATCAGTTCTGTCTGGGATGTGGAGAGCTACGGATCTCGCCTGGGAATAAGACAGAAGGGTTGCACAGGGGCCAGGTGACAGTCAGGTCTGCAGGCCTCGGCACAGTGCACTGTCACTAAAGTGTAGGGGACCTGGCCTCATATTGCTGTTTGGGGACCATCCCTGAGAGACACACAGAGAATGGCCTGAGAGTCCCCAAGAGCAACGGGAGCCTACTATGGTGTTTGTGCTCTCGCTCGGCCAGAAGGGGACGCTGGCTTCACTAGAAATGTGATGCTGGGGTGAGGGGAGAGGTGGCCATGTTTGAGACACAGGCTAGAGGTTCAGGGAGTGTGCTTGGGACAGGGCCATGATGCTGAGTGAGGATTAAGGAAGGACCTAAGTCTCTAGGTTGAGCTTAATGGTAGGTGACAGGGATGGCTTATTAAAAAGGCAATGGGACAGTCTGGGGAAGGGGAAGCAGGAAGTTGAGTTTGTAGTGGTCATGTTGAACTCGTGGGTCTACCAAACAGCCCAGGTGAATCTGCCTAGCACCTAAACAGAAGAAACCGAGGGAGAAAACTGGAGGACTTACCCTCCCAGGCAACTCTGGTGTGCCAGCATTTGCCCAAGAGATACTCTTGGAGGAAACGGGAGCCCTCAGGAGGAGCAGTTAGAAGAGGACCCAGGCTAAAGCCCCGGAGGGCCCACATTTCCTAAGGTCCTGCTTGGCAGGGACTAGCTGGGAAAGAAGTAGAGTGGGGAGAAAAACACGGGGAGGGTTCGACGCGGCGTCTCGGAAGTCAGGGACAAAGTCCAGGCTAGAGGAAGGAATTGGAAGAAAGGAGGTCCTCAGCAGTGGCAGGCCCTGCTGGGAGGGGAGGTCACTAAGGGACCTCACAAAGATGATCAGAAACCTGAGCCTGAGGGTGTTAAGTGGAGGAGGGTGAGGGAAAGATGAGAGGTAAGGAGCAAGAAAGGAGATGGGGTAGCACCGGGTAGATTCCTGTCTTGGTCTTTGTTTTGTTCTGAGTCAGGGTCTCTTGTAGCCCAGGCTAGCCTGAACCTCACTATGTTGCCAGGGTTGACTTTGAACTCCTGGTTTTCCTGCCTCCCCACCTCCCAAGCACTGGGATTACAGATGTTCATCACCACACCCTGTTCATTCTGAGCTTGAGATGGGACCAGGGCTTCATGCGTGCCCCATATGGACTCTGCCAACCCAGCCACACCCCAGCCTGGCCCTTGTCAAGGGGGGGCAAGGTCTAGTGAACATGTTATATAAGCTGGCAGACATAGGGTAAGGAATGTGGGCTAAGAGGAGAGCAGTGCCCTCTCTTTTAAACCAGGGAAGAAGGGACTCTGAGTATGGCCATCACAGCTGTCCACCACTGGCCTTGGGCCATGAGTCAGGTGTAACCTTTTAAGTACCCGCTGTGACTCCCTCCTTTACCCGTGCGAACCGGAGGCTCACTGAAGGAAGGCCGTTCACATTAGCTACTGCTTGGCACAAGAGCTGGCACTTTTTTTCTGTAAAGGGATAAGTCATAAATGTGAGAAGCTGTGTAGACCTTGAGGTGTCCATCCCACTCGCCAGCTCACCTCTGCAGAACCAGCCAGAAATGGTGTGTGTGTGTGTGTAAGAGATAGCGAGCCTGCATGCCCTAGTAAAACTTTAGTTATAAACAGGCACAGCCTAGGGGCTGTAGCATTCCCGTTTCCAGCATTTGGGGGAGGGGAGGGGGTCACATCTTGGGTGGAGGCTGTGAGCTGTATGCTAGGCCACCACTGAGTTACACTGCACACTCCCTTGCCTCCTCCTCTTGTGTGTAAGCCACTGGAGGAAGCAAGCGTGATCTTCACCCACATCATTATAAACCTTAGGGTGCATTTGTGTGTGTGACTGACTGCGGGGGATACATTCCAAAATCTGGAATGCCTGTGGTTTCTAGCACCTGGACTTGGGTGGTCAGAGCTGGCACAGAGCAGAGTTTGAGGATCGCTAAATGCTAGAGACTGCAGGTGGGTGATCTAGCTCGAGAGGGCTGGTCTACCATGCAGGAAGTCCTGGGTTTTGTCACCAGCACTGCTGAAATTCCAGCTTGGCGGTGCACACCATAATCCCTGCATGGTAGTGCACACCTGTAGTCCCTACATGGTGGTGCACACTTGCCCTTAGGAGGTAGAGGCAGGAGGATTAGAAATTCAAGCTCATCCTTGGCTGCACAGCAGGTTCCAGATCCAGCGTGGCCTGCATGAGACCCTGTCTCAGAGGGAGACACTTCAAGGGTCTAAACTGCCCATTGGACGTCTAAACTCTTGGCTCGCTCAGGGCTCACAGCAGCTAATGTGTAGAAGCAGAGAATGGCTGGGCTGTCATTTTCTTTCCTGGTAAGGAACCTCTCCGATCAGGAGAAAATCCGTAACAGTCCTCACTGGGAGCCACGGGACATTTCAACATCATCTGTGAACTATTCTGGCTGTAGACTGTGTGTGCAGCAACCCTGCCCCAAATGGAAAATGGGAAGAGAATGGCCTGTCCTCTAGCAGATTCTAACATAGACTGCTTAGGGTGGGACTCAGAAAACACACTTCTTCTCCTTAACTTCATGGCATATTTCCCACAGAAGGACTCGAGAATACACTCTACGAGTAGCTTAATGTTTCCAGAGTCGCTTCCCACTGCACACGCTGGGATAGATTGTCAGGTGTCACAGGCGTAGGTCAGATGAGGATGGTACCGGGGAAATGGACTGTATGGAAAGGTGCAGAGAGACTCAGGGTAGCCACGCTGTCTGACTCAGGAGCTCGGACCTCAGTAATCGCAACCAAACTGAGGGACTGCCTAGCACAGAGGACCTAACCTGGGCTATGCTAATGGTCTGACCCAGGAGCCTCTTTGAGCTCGGGCCTTCAAGATTCTGCAGGTGGACTTGGCCCATCTCCACATAAGATCTGGGCATCTTGGTACAAAATGTAAAGTTAAGGGAACTGGGCCAGGATGCACGCATAATCTAGATCCCATTGCTTCGAAGCAAGATACATCCCCTGAGGTTATCAGCTGCTCTCAAGGAGTGAGATTTCTGAACCCGTGGGGTTCTGGGTTGGTGGCGAGGAAGATGCCACGTATAGCCACAGCCGTGGCCAGCATGATTTGTTCGGTCATGACAGCTACAGTTGGCACGGTCTTCACGGGTATGAATTGTTGAATTCACTTCTGTAGCACTAAATACGTCTACATGATGTCATGGTTTTATGGTTAAAGGTGTTTAAATATGGACACTGTCTTGTCAGAAACAAAATAATGTAATAGCTGCTGTTTATTGGACATTGTAGTATGTGGGGGGGGTCTTAGGGTCGGGATCCTATATGGAGTCTTTCATTTAAAACTGATGCCAACCTTAATGGGAATTATTATGATTGGTTCCTTGAAAAAAAGAAAAACAAAGAAATGAAACCGAAGGAGGCTGAATAATTAGCAAAGTGACACCCTGGAGCAGCAGAGCCAGGCTTCAGGGTCACCAGCTCACCTCCAGAGCGCTCATGCTTAGCGTCTAGAGCAGACAGCCTTCCGGGATCTGAGGCCCGCACCGAAGGCAATGTACTCTTAGGATCCTGTGGCTGCCCGGGCAGACTCCTCTGGCTCTAATCCAAATTGCAATGTCTGTCGAGTTTCTGCCCTTCCGCCTAAGTCCGAGCAAGGGGGCTGTTCCCAGTCGTCCCCAGAGCGGTGCGCGCGTGGACCGCTGTGTGTATCTATCTATATAGCGTGTGTCTTCTGTACCCACAGTTACGGCTAGACGAGGCGCAAGAGGCGGAGTGCCAGGCCTTGAGACTACAACTCCAGCAGGAGATGGAGCTGCTCAACGCCTACCAGAGCAAAATCAAGATGCAGACGGAGGCCCAGCACGAGCGCGAGCTGCAGAAGCTAGAGCAGAGGGTGTCTCTGCGCAGAGCGCATCTTGAGCAGAAGGTAGGAAGTTTCCGGGTAGGGAGCGGGTGGCTGGGGCTGGGGTGGGGGAGGGTCGTGGTTTTTTGTACGGAGCCCTCCCTAGTGACCCCCTCAACTTACCCCTGGTACCCAAGAGAGGCAGGCATTATCTCCAGGCCTGGGACACGACGGCTCAGGAAGGTTATTCAACCATCCGAGGCGTTGCTTAGGAAGCCTGCCGTCTTAGCCAGCTGGATGACATCACTTACATAAGAACTATGGGATGCCAACATGGCGGCCCAGGGGCCTAAAAAAACGTCAAATAAGACTTGAATTTTTTCAGCAAAAGAAATTACCCGCAGGCTCTTTAAATAAGAAATAAAATGAGAGCTAGGCGGTGGTGGTGCACTCCTTTAATCCCAGCACTCAGGAAGCAGAGGCAGGAGGATCTCTGTGAGTTCGAGGCCAGCCTGGTCTACAGAGAGCGTTCTAGGATAGGCTCCAAAGCTACACAGAGAAAGCCTGTCTCAGAAAAACAAACAAACAATAATAATAATAATAATAATAAGGGCATTTGACACCCTCTTCTGGTGTCCATAGACACTGCACTCATATGCACACACCTAAACACAGACACAAATAGATGTAAATAATTAAATAAAAATAATTTTTTAAAAGTAAAAACCAGCCGGGCGGTGGTGGCGCACGCCTTTAATCCCAGTACTCGGGAGGCAGAGCCAGGCGGATCTCTGTGAGTTTGAGGCCAGCCTGGGCTACCAAGTGAGTTCCAGGAAAAGGCGCAAAGCTACACAGAGAAACCCTGTCTCGAAAAACCAAAAAAAAAAAAAGTAAAAACCAAGATAGGTTGGTGTTGCCACATGTAGTAACTGTTATCCCCCTCGAATTATGCCTTGCTGTAGGAGGGTCGAGTGGAAACTGCCATGAGGCAGCTCAAAGCTGGGGCTGAGGAGATGGCCCAGTGGGGAAGGTGCGTCCTGTGCAGACATGAGGACCTGGGTTCTAGCCCAACACCCACATTAAAAAAAAAAAAGCTCCTATCACACAGACTCATTGGACTCAAGAGGGAAGAAGACACTGACCTGGATCAGCCCAGGCTCAGATAGCATCCCCACCCCCACCACACCACACCACACCATACCATACCACTACCACACCACCACACCGTCACCATACCACACTACCACACCACCACCATACCACACTGTCATCATACCACACTACCACACCACCACACTGTCACCATACCATATTACCACACCACCACACCATCACCATACCACACTACCACACCACCACACCGTCACCATACAACACTACCACACCACACCATCACCATACCACACTACCACACCACCACACCACACCTCCACACTACTACACCACACCACCACACTACCACCACCATTACCACCACCACACCACTACCATCCCACCACCCCACTGCCTCACCCCAGCCCTAGCAAGTTTGAGACATAGTGGATCAAATCCAAGATACTTTATTCCTGGGCTCCCAGCTCTCAGGTCTAGGCTGCTCCCTACTCGGGTGTGTGTGTGTGTGTGTGTGTGTGTGTGTGTGTTCGCATGCACAAGCTCACACTCATGGGGGGGTCCCTCGTGGCTGTGGGACGAGCACTGGCACTGAGGCCCACTTCTGTGCTTCGTGCAGATTGAAGAGGAGTTGGCCGCCCTGCAGAAGGAACGTAGCGAGAGGATCAAGATTCTCCTGGAAAGACAAGAGCGAGAGACGGAGACTTTTGACATGGAGAGCCTCAGAATGGGATTTGGGAATTTGGTGACATTAGATTTTCCTAAGGAGGACTATAGATGAGATTAAATTTTTTTTGCCATTTACAAAAAAAAAAAAAAAATGAAAAAAAGAAAACAAAAAAATTCAGACCCTGCAAAACTACATTCCCCATTTTAACGGGCGTCGCTCTCACTTCACACTCTCTCTCTTTCTCTCCCCCTCTCTCTCTCTTTCTCTCTCTCTCTCTCTTCCTGACATCGTGTCGGACTAGTGCCTGTTTACTCTTACTCCATCAGGGGCCCTTTCCTCCCCCATGTCAACTTTCAGCGCCGGCCGGCCCACCCGGCCGGCCCTACCGTCCACCACCCACACCGAAGTACCAGTGTGGCTCACAGATGCTCTGGCGAAAACCTTGGAGGTGGTTCTGGGGTCAGTCAACCAACAAACAGCGATGGAACACAGATGGATATTGCTTTAAGCAATCCCTCATTGTCACCAACTAGTGAAAATAAAGCAAAAAAAAAAATAAATAAATAAACTAAAGAAAGAAAACTAAATAAATAATACATGCCAAGGGGGAGAGAGACACAAAATCCGCAGCCTTACACCTTAACCAGCTGCTGCATAATTTTATTTTATTTTATTTTTTTGGTATTTATTCATCAGGAATTAAAAAAAAAACAAAGTTTTATTAAAGATTGAAAATTTGATACATTTTACAGGAACTAATTGTGATGTACATATGAAGTGGTAACATATTATTACTATTTTGGGGCCGGGGTGGGGGGGTGGGGTGCAGAGAGCTTGTGATTTTTAAGAACCTGCCGGCAAGAGTTTGCCTTGCCGTCAGCCTGGTCTACTGTATCCCGGCATCCTCTGCTGTTGCAGACGGTGCGAATACGCGTACGTACGGAACTCACAGAATCCCAGTAGCACAAAATTGGGCTTTGGCAAATCATGTATTTTGTGTATAGAGGGAATCTAAGGAGAGGAATTGCTTATTTTCATATTGTATTTTAACTGTTTCTCTGATCAAAATTTTTTTACTTCCTCCTCCTGTTCCTCCCTACCCACCCACGCCCACCTCCCGGCGGTTTCCAGTTCAGTCTCGAGTTCAATGTCTTTTTCAGTCCGATCATCTCCGTTTATTTCTCCTTCCCTCCCCGCGCCCCCTATCTTTGGTCATAAATATTGCATTATTCATCCTTTCAAACTGTGTATTTTCTTACAATAAAAAATGATGAAGAAAAAAAGGCTTTACTCCTTTGGCATGCACCTTAAAAAAAAAAAAACACTTTAAAAAAAAAACCTTTTTCAGGTTCCGAGGAAGAGCATGATTAACTGTCAGGGCTTTTAATTATATTTGTAAATAAAAGTGTTCGTCACATTGCCTGGCTGTGTTCTTGTGGCAGGGTTTCCCTTCTAGGTGCCTCTGGGGATGACTCACTCCAAGGGCTGAGCCCTCCTGGAACCGTGCTCCAGGGCTTCCTCCCAGAAGGACGCTGAGGGGAAGCCGAATCTTCCAGTTTCTTCCGGACCGAGATGGAGGTGCGCTTTTTGACATGCTCACAGAGACCGGCCCAGCTCAGTGCCCCTAGCCTTAGAAGCACAAGCCACACAGGATCGCAGACAAGACGACTGCACCCCACGAAGAAGAGCAAGCTGCGGAAGGAAACTGTCCCACTGTAGCGCAGACTCCATCCCTTCCCGGCCTCCTGTCACTAGAGTAACCACGTAGTAAAAGCAGGACTTCCGGGATCCTTACACCTATACCCTTAGCTCTGCAAGCCGTGCATATTGAAATTGGGTTTTGCTTTCTTGTTATTATTGTCTCTTCATTTCTTGTTTTTTTTAGTGTTCCCACTTTTTTTCCCCCTGGAACTCACAATGCAGACTGGGCTGGCCTCGAACTCACAGAGATCCTTCTGCCCTTACCCCATCACCTCCCCAAAGTGCTGGGATTAGAGGCGTGTGCCTCTACACACCCAGCCTTGTTTTATGCTTTCCTAACGACCTGAGAGTTGGGCTGCTTAGGCATGCTCAGCCAAGCTGAGGCCACATGCAGTTTCTGATTCTGCAGTGCAGGGGTCTAATTTCAGCCTCCTGAGTGCTAGGTAGGCACTATTCCAACTGTAGTAGGACTATTCCCCAGCCCCGGCCCAGCCCCTGCCCCTGCCCCTGCCAACACTGGTCTTTCATTTGTTTTGTTTGTTATGTATGTATGTATTTAAATTTGTTTTTTTCCAGAGCTGAGGACCGTACCCAGGGCCTTGCACTTGCTAGGCAAGCACTCTACCACTGAGCTAAATCTCCAACCCCTAACACTGCTCTTTTGAATGAGGAACCTGAGAACCATTCTCGGATCCTAAAAGAGTGTTATCAAGCACATAGGTAACCTGTCGGTTTCATTGTGACTAAATCTGACAACTGTAAAATAACACAGACAGTTACTAACATGGATTCACTCCTCCATAAAGCCTATGGTAACAGCCGCCCAGCATCCCAGGCCCATCAGTTAGTGTTTATGGTCAGCACATTGAAAGTAAGATTGGAGGAGCCTGGCATGGGGGCACATGCCTTTAATGCCAGCATTCAGGAAGCAGAGGAAGGCAGATCTCTGAGTTCTAGGACAGCCTGGTCTACAGAGTGAGTTCTAGGACAGCCCAGGCTGTTACACAGAGAAACCCTATCTCAGAAAAAACAAAGCAAAAAACCAAAAACAAAAACCAGCAACCCGGGTATAAAAGAAACACAAGGACAGGGCAGAAAGCCAGAGTCCTCCCTTGCAGCATGGAGCAAACTCCCCTGAGTGTAAAAAGGATTATAAAAAGAGGTTTATGGACTGGCAAGATGGTTCAGTGGGTAAAAGGTGCTTGCTGCCAAGCCTGATAACATGAGTTCAAACCCTGGAGCCCACAGGAGGAAAGACAACACCCCCCTCCTGCAAGCTGTCCTCTGACCTCTAACATGCACCATGGCATGTGTGTACACATAAGCACACACAAAATAAAAAAAATTTTAAACGGGTTTGTCAGTCATATAGCTAAGGCGTAGCTGGTAAGCCTTGACCTGTGGTTCTTGTGACTTCCATGTGCCCATCCATGTGCCTGCCACAGGTGACGTCACAGTCCAGGGCTGGGAGACACCCAGTGACTAGTGGTCATGATGAGTGACTGATAATAAGTCCTATGTACACAGAAGTCCATGTAGGAAAGAGTCAGGAGCCCATCTGACCAGAGCCAACCTGGGCTATCACACCGATCTGACCGGAGCCAACCTGGGCTATGCACTTAGACTCCATCTCAAAACAGAGAGAAAATAAAGTCCCTGAAGCTAAGGACCCCTTGTCAATCATCCAGGAGACTTCAGGACACAGGAAGTGTCCCCCACTGCTGGGGACTGTAGCTTCTTATTGTTTGTTAGCATTTTTTGTTTGGTTTTCCTGTAGCACTGGGTGAAAAGCCCAGGGCTTTGCAGACAGTATCCAAGGACTCTACCACTGAGCCATGCCTCCACCCAACACATTCTCAGTCCTTGACATCCTTAAGGGTACTGCCTTCTAAACACTAAATTTAAATACATACATACATAACACACACATATATATATGAACAACCGCCTTTAACTCCAGTGCCCTCTCTCCACAGACACTGCACTTACATACATCTACCTCCACAAAGAAACACCCCATAGACATATTTTAAAATAATCTCTTACAGAACCAGAATTCAAAAAACTCTACACACAGCCAGTCAGCTGATGGGGTGCTTTCTGAACACGCACAGAGCCCTGGGCTCCATTCCCAGCACTGCATAAACCGGGGGCTGTGGTGCTCAGCTGAATCCCAGCAGCCGAGAGGCAGAGCTGGAGAATAGGAGGTTTGAGTTTGAGACCATCTTGAGAGATGTAACACACTGCCTTAAAAATGAAGGAAGGAAAGAAAGAAAACCTATATGCACATGCATCTTTAAATGGCACTGGAAACACGGCCACAGAGCCATGGGAATACCTAGCCCACTCAGACAAGGTACTGTAAGGGTCATCACTGTCAGCAGAGAGAGCCTGGCAAGTTCAAGGAACCAGAAGGCACTCCTGCAAGGTAGGAGCTGCATGAGTCAAGACACTTGTGGGGACCAGATGACAAACGGCTCCCAGGCCCTGCGAAGGACCGAGGCTCTACCTATCCCAGCAGCATCTGTCAATCAACCAGGGATCTCCGTTTTTGTTTGGGGGGTTTTGTTTGTTTGGTTTTGGTTTTTGGTTTTTGGAGACAGGGTTTCTTTGTGTAGCTTTGGAGCCTGTCCTGGATCTCGCTGTGTAGACCAGGCTGGCCTCGAACTCACAGAGATCTGCCTGGCTCTGCCTCCCGAGTGCTGGGATTAAAGGTGTGCACCACCACTGCCCGGCTTCAACCAGGCATTTCCAATCAACTGTGAGGCTGCCTGACTTTGCATCCACGTCAAGACACATTTCCACCCTGTGCAGTTGGGTTAAACACTGATGAGATAGCAGCCCTGCTTTTGGGACGTGGTCTCCGTTAACCAGAGGTGAATTCAGGAATTCCAGAGGGACTGACGCGGCACATGTTTCCATCCACATGCGGTCAGAATGACAGGCACGTCCCCAGATTCCAACCTTAGACACACTACTGGGCTGAGAGGGCCAGCGAGACGGCTCAGCAAGGAAGGCGCTTGCTGTGCAAACCTGTTGACTGACGTGAGTTCAATACCTGAACAAGTAAGAGAGAACCAGCCCCGCCAAGTCTTCCACTGGCCACACATGCTGGGCTGCACACCCACGCATGATGCATGCATATGCCAACCGTACATGGATACACACAAAGTAACAGGATACCATTTTAAGTAATCCTGGGCTGTGAGCCCGGCTGGATGGTGAGACGCCTGTTGTGGTGGCTGATATTATTACAGGATCTAGACTCAAATCATAGATAAACCTCTGGGCAGGCCTGTGGGCGATTATCTGGATTAAGGTAATTGAGGTGAAGACAATCCACTGTACTTGTGGGTGTCACCATGCCACGGGCCAGGGTCCTGAAAAGGAGAAAGCGAGCTGAGCCCCAGCATTTCAGCTCTCCCTGCTTCCTGACTGTGGATGTCACGTGACAGCTGCTTCAAGCTCCTCCTACCATGCGTTCCACGCCAGGATGGCCTGTGCCCTCAAACCCTCTCACTTGTCTCTGTGTTCATTCCAGACCGTCGTGTTACACCCTTGGGAAGGCTGTAATCGGGGAACGGCTCTGAGCCTTTGGACTTTGTTCAGGCATGTCAAATCAGGTTCAGTTTAATCATTTATTACGTTTCTTTTTTTTTTTAAGATTTTTTTTTTTTAATGTATGCAGGTGCTTGTCTGCATGTATGCCTGCAGGCCAGAAGAGGGCACCAGATCTCATTATAGATGGCTGTGAGCTACCATGTGGTTGCTGGGACTTGAACCCAGTGCTCTTCACCTCTGAGCCATCTCTCCAGTCCCCATTTATTACATTTCGTATTTTGTGTATGTGTGTATGCCCACGTGTGCCACACCTCACACACGAGGGTCAGAGGACCACGGCGGAGAGTCAGTTCTTTCCTCCTACACTGTAGATCCCCTGGGTCAGATTTGGTGGCAGTGACTTTGCCCACTAAGCCTCATTGCTGGCCTGAGTCTACGAGTGTTTAGACAAGGAAGCAGAGGACTGCTTCACCCTGATTATCACTTTTTTAAAAAACCGAACATCTTGCAATTAGTTATAGAAAATCACATGAAAAATCTCGTTAGAGAAAAAAGCTAGTGGATGATTTTAAATATATGTAAATACTAAGTCAAAATGTTCGAAGTTCAATAAAACTGGCCCAACAGTAGCGATGGGACTCACACACCCCTCTTCCTGGAGGGCAGTCTGCACAGATCAGAACTGAAAAGATGCATACCTGTGGACACACTGTTGCAATACGAGGGCTCCCCCACACCTGTATGAAGGGTGTTTGCTGAAGCACTATTTATAACAGCAAATGAATGGAAACAGGCAAAACCACACAGTGGTGTGAGCGTCTGTAAATGAAGGATCTGTTCAAAATGGAACTACAGCACCCGAAGAACCACTGTATGGAGTAGTTAGTAGGTTTGGAAAATAGGTACCCAGGGTCGGTGAGATGGCTTAGCGGATAGAGGTGCTTGCCGCCAAACCTGATGATAGGAGTTTGATCCCAGGACCCACAGGGTAGAAAGAACCACCTTCCACAAATTGAATTCTGATCTTCACCTGCTGCAGTATACACGTGTGTGTGTATGTGCACATGTATGTACACCCACCCACACAATAGATGACGGATGAATGGATGGATGGATTAAAAAAAATTTTTTTTTTAACTTTAACGAAAAAGTTGG